TCTTTTCTTTCCTTGCTTCTTGATTCGGTTTTCGATGCTTATGTCCGATACATAAATGTCCACGTATAGCCTCTTGTTATACGTGAAACCATCAAGCAAGATCGTAAGTAGTTTGTTTTGGGGCGTAGGGTGTTGACGATAAAGGCACACCGAAGATAGAGCAGAAAGATGTTCTATCCTATAACATCAAGATCCAGACATTTGATGAATAATAGGATATGGTATCTTTCACCGACATAAGTCTAGCGGGAGTTGGCTCGAACCTCCTCAGATGATTAGCAGTCCCACACCCGACAATGTAATCGACTCGTTGACAATGAAAATTTCTAAAAAAATATATAATAAGTTCTAATAAACCTTTTTCAAGCAAAAACATACTTTTCTACGAAACAAAATTTGATAACACTTATTTGCATGTTTAAAATTTGTGTGCATGTCAAAAACATAAATTTAAAATACATTTTAAAATTGATTGTCCACCTGACGAATACCTGTTTAGGCTGGGAAGTAGCCCTCTAGGTGAGGTTCAGGACACACTTCTAGACGAGTGACGGGTTCTATACATTCGGGTGACCGAGTAGCCTTCGTGGACTTTCGAGTACATATACATATATCTGAGCCTAGCCCTACACAAGTGATTGCAATCCCCCTTACCCGAACTTTTTGTTTTATCGAAGCTTTGGACAGAGCACTTGTATTTCTTTTTTTTTCTTTTTTTTTTTAGATTTCCCCGAGATTTTTGAAGAAGTTTACTTGAGTCTTTTCTCGTTGATTTTTCTCGAGTTTTTGGTCATGAGTCGTCGTTACACTTTTCTTGGGATTTCTCGGATGGCTTTTCTTCCAGACTTCATTTTTTGCAATATATTTCAGCTTGTTATATTCAAGAAACGGTGGACCCCACGGGCGTACAGGTTCGTTTTACATTTACAGAATGTTATTCTATTCTTGTTTATACCTGCTACTGCCCTGTACAGCATGTTATTCTATTCATGTTCCTACCTGCTACTGTTCTGTACAGCATGTTATATTATTCATGTTTCTACCCGCTATTGTTCTGTAAAACATGTTACACTGTTCTTTTTACTGTACTTGCTACCGCTCTATAAAGCATGTTATACTTTTCCTTTTATTATACCTGCTATTGTCATGTATGGCATGTACACTGTTTCTTTTATTGTGCTTTCTACTGTTTGCCCTGTACTGCACATTTTTATATTACATAGTCTTAAACATGTCTCATTTCCATATAGGATGTTTAGAGGACTATTACCATAGGGTCGTTTGATTTGACATCATAACTAGTAAACTTGAACTCGTCACGACAATGAGCTTGGAGTTAGTGCGGTGGGCAGCACGACCATCTTCAACAGCAGAATATGTCTTCCCCAGCTAAACCATTCCTAGAATTAAAACAACAATCCATAGGATTTCGAGGTTGTTCGTCTAGTGCAACATAAATCCTCAATATTTTCGTTAAGCATTTGTGTAGCTCTGTTGTACGATCTAAGCCCTAACTCGTTTCAGGATTCTGAGGTTGTTGTTCGTCACGACCTAAATTCTCACATCTTTCAGGCTATTTGTATAACCGTTTCACACGAATGTAAACACTAATTAAATAAAACTGGCAAGATGAAACATTTGAATATTCCTCTTCGAAACTGAAGCCAAACCATAGGGTAGACTGGGAAGCCACCGAGAATCTCCTCTGGATCTGTGGCATCCCCTAGTTCTTGATCCTTTGGATCCTGTAATAAATGTTCCAAGTTTGAATCATTCCCTTTTGCACACCTCTTTGTTCAATTTCATTGAAAAGTCTCATTTTTTTGAAGTCCTTGAAGATAATTTTTCCTGATTTTTTATCGAGAGTGTTCTTAAGTGATTTCGGTCATTTAAGATGTAATTAACTATAGGGGCTTGCCCTTATAGGAAGCTTTTCCGAACCCAGCTTAAAATAAACCCTATTTAATTTTTCATATTAAATACGAGAATTTGTCGCAAATAAAACGGTTTCGCAGACCAAACGGACGTCATATATATCTTAGTTTATCTGATCGAGCTTCATCCTCAAGTCTTTCATCCTCAAGTCTTGTGTTTATCAAGTCTTGTGTTTATCCCTCAGGATAGATACAGGATTTGAGGTAAAACGCTCATTTAAACTATGAAAAATATGGGGGGGGTCAGTTTGATTTTCATATTTGATTTTCTAAACTTGAACCTATACGTCCTTCCGAGGCAGGTGACGGAATTTCAATTCCGGTGACCGACAGCTTCTTACGAACAACTCCCTCAAACCACAAACAAACCATCCCCACACTTTTTCCCTGCTGACAAGCCGCCTTTACGAGTTTCCCGCCAAGCTCATGTCGTTCACAACTATTGTGACATCGCTTGTCTTCTCTCCTCGCGCTTGATGCTTAGCACCCGTTCCATCCTCAGCAACTTTGGCGTCATTCCTCCACATATGAGGCGAGGGCCGCTCGGCTTGAAATTGCCTCCCTCTCCTACACGGATTCATCTTGCTTGAGATCACACTCGTTGTCCCTTCAGCATGAAACGCATGTGTTGATCTTCTCTCACCCCATCTCACGCACTTACTAGTGCTCGAGACGAGTTCTCTTAGTCTTGCTCAAACGGTTAGTACCAAATCGAAAAGCATTTTCGTTTCCAAATAGAATAATTGGCATCACAAACCCACGCTCCGGTTAAATTTTCTTTTAATTTATTTTTTAAGTTGGTACAATACACAAAATCTATAAACACTCCTCAATAATCACCATCGTCCACATCTCGTTAAGAAAATTTGATGCCCATTTATTTACAGACATTAACCAGCATCATTGCAAGCACCTCGCTGCAGCCATGACACTTGACAGTAAAGCAACAGTATCACAAATATCTCTAAGAAATCTTAATACCCTCTCAGCAAGCATCATTTTCTTCAACTTTACACAACTACGATCATTGAGACTTTCAAAATTTCAAAAGAGATAAGAGAAGCCTCATCCTTCCAAATATTACATATCACAAAAGTTAAGTGACGCCTAAATCATTAAGTAACTTCGCTAAAATTAGCCACGTCACACAACCACAATAGGATAAAGCGATAGTACCTATAGATCATAATCACTAGATTGATTCAAACCATGTGAAGTCCCTTCCACCAAATCTCTGGAGTCAAAAAATAGAACTTCTAGGTAAGCAATAATCGATCAAACTAACTCAAATCACATCCAACACCAATCTCAAAGTAATTCTACAGCCTGATTTCACTCTACAGTAACATATATCTTAAAGTTTAAGGTTCCATCCATCAACCCCTAGACAGGATGACCAGGCACGAATGTCGAAGATACTGTCTCACTTCTCAGCCCTTGATCCAAAAGACTGAATACATTTCATCTGCAAGCGCTTCCATCCGACATAGATCCCTAAGGACAGCATCTTCATCATCCGCCATATGTCCCAGCAGCTGTACTTAAACTATCCTTCATTCTCACTATTATAAAGAAAGTGAAAAAAAAACCTCTAACCCTTTCTCTCTAAAAATAGAATAGATATCACCTCTGATTCCTCCCTTCTTATACCAATGGAGAAATCTTAGTGAATCAAGTTTAGCCGATAATCTCCTTCAATCTCGAGTCACTGGAAGATATTCACAGATACTGCATTCCAGAGTTAACCAATAAACCGCTTGTTTTATTGATTGGCAGTAGGCACGATATTGCACTAAAGACACCCATCAAGCCAGATTCTGCATACACTCAATGACCAATTCCAGCATGAAAGAATAACGAAATAAATAAACTTACGTCCCAGCCATCATAATGTAATGCAGTTTTACTGAAATGTTTAAGTGTTGATCTCCAGTATATCCTGCCAAGATAAATACTACTTGCAACGAAAAGAATTACTACATATGGTTCTATTAGCCACGAATTGTATAACAGCTTTATTAAAGGCTTACCAGGGGTGATCTTGAATGAGACAAGTGTTAAAATGGTCTCCTGACTTTCAGAGGGCTATTTCAGTTCCAGAGTCTATTAAAGTGTCAATTTAGTCACTAGACTCCTTTAAATGGGAAGGGGAAGGGTGGGGGTTAAAATAGTCCTGCATGGGGACTATTTCAACTCATATTAAAGGAGTATACAGACTAATTTGGCACTTTACTCAATTTTGAACATGCCTTGGTTTTTTTTTTTTTTGGGGGGGGGGGGGGGGGGGGGGGAGTCCCTTATATTTTTTATCTCAATTTATTTCATACGGCTATAGAAACTCACCCAAACATACGTAAGGGCCTCTGAATATCCGCATTAACCTCGTATCATAGTAGACACAGCTTAATTCTCGCAACTAGATTTTGATTGACTGCTTCACCCAGAAAACTACCAAACTGCCAAACTGGCACTCTTCTGGAAATTGATACGAGTAAAAACAAATAGAAAATACTTATAAAGAGCAACATCATTATTTCAGTATTACATGCGAATTGAGTAAATAAAAGCTAAGTGAATCTGCATAAATAAATCCTGAAAAGTAGCTCATTTCTTGATTGTGACCAACAGGTTAGATGTTCAATTCACGAAAAAATCCTGTGTGTAATGCGGCGGCAAGGCTGCAAGCAACCCCCTCTCCATAACGTGTTGATAGCATATTTGAATCAAAAAATTTAAGTTGCCTAAATTTCAACCAACATACCATAACATGGAATTTAAATATAGGGGCATTTACATACATAGCACACAATTCTTAGGTATTTACGTATCCCACACCTAAACTTCCATATTTACATGCATAGCACTCAAATTTTTAATATCACATTAAAATAGCACTATTACTGCTTATTAAAGAAGAAATACATATTTTCATGCATACATTTAAAGTAATAAAATGTTGTGTAAATAGGAAAGGTTAGGTGAGAGAGACGTAAATACATAAGAATTGTGTGCTAGGTATGAGAACAAGTAGTATTGAAATAAACTAATAGAAAACCAATGGCGTACCTTCATTATCGTAAGATCATCCAAATGGCCTTCATTTGCCTTGATTGACATTGATCCTAAAGCAGCTCTCAGAGATATCTTCATGGCAGCTTCAATTTCTTTGGAAGCTTCCACTGCAGTTGCATTGGCAGCTGCTACCACAGAAGCAACAGTTCCCAACTTCGCAGAACCACTGCCACTCAAGGAGCTCACAGCTTCCTTATGGGCCTTTAGGACCAACTGAGACGCACTGTTAGATGAAGAGGGTGATGGGGGAAAATGAAATACGTGAGGAAAGCTTTAAAATCTGTCTGCATAATCATAAGTTAATAAAACAGATGGAAGGCTAATAAACTCCAAAGTTAATAAAACAGAGAAGGCTAATAAACTCCAAAGTTCATCTTATAACGGAGAGATGATACCAAAAATAAATAAGAGATCATTTTGATGGTATAACTAAAAAATACGTAGTAATAACACAGCATTGCTTACTTAAAAAAGGCAAGGAAGCTGCTCCTATCTATCAAGTGCTACCAGACAATTTTTTTTTTTTTTAAGTCAGAAGCATTTCATATAAAAAATTGGGAAACCATGCAAACATATCAATTAGACTAGAACTTAGTGGTCCATCCCACCCTGCCCTCCTAAACTCTGACGCCTTAAGCTCTAGGATTTCTACTTCCAATGTAAAATGAAAACAAGCGAGATAATTATTTTTATACATTTCTAATGAGATGTAAATGATTTAATGACACAAACGTGAGATTAAACCTTTAAATCTCGCAGGGAAGAAAACCATCTAATGCACAAAACGATACTACTAAAGGACATGAATAGACATAAGATAAAAATCAATTTCTAGTGATATTTTTTATTTCCGTATGAATTTTATTGAAGATTAATGAAATCAACTGAGACGCACTGTTAGATGAAGAAGGTGATGGGGGAAAATGAAATACGTGAGGAAAGCTTTAAAATCTGTCTGCATAATCATAAGTTAATAAAACAGATGGAAGGCTAATAAACTCCAAAGTTAATAAAACAGAGAAGGCTAATAAACTCCAAAGTTCATCTTATAACGGAGAGATGATACCAAAAATAAATAAGAGATCATTTTGATGGTATAACTAAAAAATACGTAGTAATAACACAGCATTGCTTACTTAAAAAAGGCAAGGAAGCTGCTCCTATCTATCAAGTGCTACCAGACAATTTTTTTTTTTTTTAAGTCAGAAGCATTTCATATAAAAAATTGGGAAACCATGCAAACATATCAATTAGACTAGAACTTAGTGGTCCATCCCACCCTGCCCTCCTAAACTCTGACGCCTTAAGCTCTAGGATTTCTACTTCCAATGTAAAATGAAAACAAGCGAGATAATTATTTTTATACATTTCTAATGAGATGTAAATGATTTAATGACACAAACGTGAGATTAAACCTTTAAATCTCGCAGGGAAGAAAACCATCTAATGCACAAAACGATACTACTAAAGGACATGAATAGACATAAGATAAAAATCAATTTCTAGTGATATTTTTTATTTCCGTATGAATTTTATTGAAGATTAATGAAATCAAATAATTATGATATTATGTGCACAAAGAAAAGCATGTAAATAGCAAATCTAAAATACACCATACACATCATCAATCAATCAATATTTAAAAGGTAAAATAAGAAGAGTAAGAATAAACTAAACAGCAAGCCTCTTGCTTGATCAAAAATATCACTCATCCTCAAGTGCTCAAAGTCTCACACTTGATCAAAAAATGTAAGTCCCAAAAGAACAAACAAAGCTTCATATCCATAAAACTAAATTTTTTTTAAGCAGACTATGTTTACATGCCTCAAAACATTATTATTTATAAACTATTGCCCCAGGAAAAATAAATTGGCTGAACAAATTAAAATGTATTCATCCTCGTGCAGCCTATTTGGCCCATTGGTTAAGAGCTTTGTCTCTACCTTCCATGTCTTGAGTTCAAGGCCAAGCACATATGGGCATCTCAGTTAAATAAAAATTGCATTAATCCAACCATAGCAAACCACAAGAATAAGCACAGTATGCTACTCTCGCAGAAATCCAGCTAATATTCCAGTAAAATAAGACAAATTATAGTCAGAGAAATGAAATGTCATGAGAACCTATAGTCAAGTAAGGAGAAGTTTCAGACATAGCAATAGCTTTGTAGAATAGAAACTTCAGCTAACAACAGACTCTAAATAACCCCGAGAGATGAGAACCACGTATTAAGGTAAATATTCACATCATTTTTGTTGCCTTGAAAATATTATTTTATATTACAATGAATATGAACAAATATACTCGCGTTCTTGTAAAGACACGTGAATAATCAATCAAATGGAAGCAAATATTTCCATCTAACAAGATATCTCTGGCTCCACCATCAGTAGTAGCCATTACATCATAATTAGGATGGATCATGAATTTAGATCAGAAATTTACAAGATGATACGGTGGAGATGAAGTAATATGAAAGGGTTCTAAGAAGGGAAGAATCCAAAACATTAATTGATGGCTCGTGATATAAAATCGTAAATGATGTATTAAAATCGGATTCATAGCAAAATTTTCTGTAATATCTAATATGCAATCTTCGATATATTATGTGGTTCAAGCTTTTGGCAACTAATTTCTTGAAAGTTCTTACAGCCAATATTTCAGCATTCAGACTAACCATTATGTTCCACCTTTTCAAACTTCATATATCTTCTACTCATCCACATTAGACCTGCTACTATTTTAAATAGCAATAAATATCCCATAAAAATTTTACATAAATATTGAAAGGTAAATAAAAACACATGTAATGTTCTAATATCTATTTTAGAACTAAATCATAGCGGAGATAACGAAGATAACATAGGATTTCAAATTACCATGTAGTTGACATCATATTTAATGATATTAAATTTTTTCTTTCCCATCCATATTCTATAGGATTTAGTCCTAACATATGAGCTCTTTTACATTAAGTGTCGACCATCCGATTAGGGCTGGGGCTGTCATAAAAGCTCGTTGTTCGCGAACAGCTCGTGTTCGGCTCGTTAAGTAGCTCGTGTTCGGCTCGTTAGTTAAGTAAACGAGTCGAACACAAACAAGTTTTTAAAGCTCGAATTACAAATGAGTCGAACACGAACAGCTCTTTGTTCGCTCCTGTTCGACACGTTTTAGCTCGAAATAAAAAATATATATAATTATTTAAATAATAATATATTACATATATTATTTATTTATTAATATTATATATATATATATATATATTTAGAAGGTAACATTGTAACATCTTTTTTTGTCTGATGGTGATATCCTTACAACTTCAACCCACAGTTTAACAAGTCAATTTTGAGCCGAACACGAATATTTAAATCAAGTCGAACACGAACACGAATATTTAAATCGAGTCGAACACGAACACACTGTTCACGAGCCGATTTCAAACACGAGCAGTTTCGAAAGAGCCGAACACAAGGCAAGCCTGAGCTCGCTCAAGCTCGATTCGTTTACAACCCTAAACCGATGACCAAACTAGCAAAGTAGATGACCCGGTTAGGAGACTGGATATTTTAGATTTGACTTATGTTATAAAAGGTAGAAGTAAATCTAAAAAGACTTGGGCATGTTGTATAAAAAATGATCTTAATTTATTAAAATTAAATGAAAATACGACACTCAATAGGACATAATCGACACTCAATAGGACATAAGACATAATGAAGAAAAAGGGTTCATGTAGTCGACCTCACTTACCAGGATAAAGGCTTCTTGTTGTTGTGTTGCATAGGAGCTCTTTTATTGGTCTTTTAGAAGAAATTTCTACTGACAAGGTGGTGACTGAACTAAAATTAATTAAAATAATTAACTACCCTTGGTTCAAGATGAGCTCAGGGTGGTCTTTAACTTGTATAAATTAAGTTAAAATGACTACAAACAGATCATTAAGAACTAGGAACCAAACCAAATTCCCTTCTATGACTTAAGATAACCTTAGATCACCCTTAGAACCCTTACATCCTATAAACTAAAAATAGAAACCAAAGCATTAGGATTTGTCCTAGGAGTCTCTGTACCTCCCCTTAACTCGCCCTTGAACCACCATAGGCCAAATTGAATTCAATCAACATTAAAAGTGTTCAAATCTGTGCCCAGACTTTAGAATGCCATCTCATGAGATTCCAAGCCAAGCATGGCTTCACAAGTTCATTGGACTCCCTCAGCCCAATATGACTCAAAAGGGGTAAGCATGAACCAAGGCCACCCAAAACCAAGTTTATTTGATAATGCTATGGATCTTTGCGGAATTTCATATCTAAACACCAAGCCATTGAAAAGACATCAAGTATCACAAATGGAGTTGACTAAAACCATCATATGACTGCTATTATTGTTATTTAAATAAGTCCTCTTTTGCCTGGTAAACATGTAGCATTAGAAACTCTACCTTAACATAGCATTCAAAGAGTAAAAAACAAAAAATAAAAAATTCTTAATCACGCAAAGTTATAGCAACACAAGCTTACTGTAAAGTGGATACCCAGGCTCGCGCAGCACCAGGAGTTTCTGCACAAAGGAAGTATTCCTTTTTCTGTGGAGTGCCAATATCTTAATAATCAATTATTGAGTAGTTGGAAATAATGGTAGAAACAACAAGACAAATAGAGCAAAAAACAAGAGCTAGAAAATAATTCATGACAACATGTAAGTATTGGGATACAGAAACAACAGCCATCATATTTTGGCAGACCACTGCAGTACCAAGGAGAAAATAGCCCAGTGAGTAACGACTTTGAGCACTAAACCAAAGGAAAAAGAATGTGTAAATGTGAATAAGAGTGTAACTGGAAGTTCACAGGAGAGAGAGTAATGGTGCTGCCTGAATCAAAAAGAATTGATCCCTTAACAATGGGCTCATTCCTCCGTATCCTGCCAACCAGCTGATTAACTATCTTATAAACAGTAGAGTATTGAAGTAGAAGCTTTTAATAAACTGCAATAATACTTATATTCCATTTTTCCAGTGGTAGGGTCAAGGATCAACCATCTCTCATTCCATTTCCTTAGCTGCATGAAAAAGAAGGAACCAATAATTATTACTGCTTAAAGCCATAAAACACATAACATAGCTAACACAAAACCACTAGATGCACCCCAAATTCAATTATGTCAGTGAGCGTTAAAATGAGAAAATCTTCAGAAAATACATTTCCTTATAAATCAATATTGCACATGACATGTTTGTCAAGATAACATCATTATCATCTTCATTAGCTTTATTCAAACTATTTTGGGCAGGATAAGAAATCATTCCCAAAAAATATATTGGATTTTCCTATGAAATGAACCGACTGATCATAATCAATAATTTAAGCAAAATGCCAATTGTAAATAAAATCAGATTTAGAAAATATATTTTCTATAAAAGCAATATTTTTTATGAAACCAGGATTAGGGCAAAGACATTTTATGGATCCAAGAGTTGGCGTAAGAAGCTGTTATGCAAAAATTACAATATTAAGATGGATGGGAGCCAATTCTGAAAAAGGATAAAATATCGATTGAATACAATAAACGAATTATTGGAGTAAAATTTATTAAAAATAAAATACTTTGTAAAAATTGATGTGATTTTGACATATGAAACACATGATTAAAAAAAAATGTGCCTACCAGATGAGTAAATAAAATTAGTGTGAAGATTAGGAAGGAGACGATGTGAAAGAAAGGTGATTAGGATAGAAGTTTTTCAAAAGGATTTGCAAAGAATAGGTTTACCACATTAGTACTAAATAGGAAAGAAATAAAAATGATGATTCATGCAGTTGAACCCTAGGGATAAAGCTAATGATGATGATGATGATGATTAAATACAGAACTCCAATGACATGCTGATGGATTCAAAGGGCACAAAAGATTCAATGCCCAGCACATTTCTAGAGATTTATCTGCCACTTAAGGAATACTGATTGGCAAAATTTGTATAATAATGTCATAAAAAACATAAAACTAGTACACAAGGTCCAAAATCTTGGGCCTAATGACCAAACTATAGCTGGACAAGATATTAAACGGAGTCACCCCAAAATATAATATATTCATCAACAAAAACAACAAGCCTTTATCCCACTAAGTGGGATCGGCTACATGAATCCTTTTTCTCAATTGTGCCATATTGTGTTTCATATTTTCATTTAATTCTAATACACCAGGTCATTTATTTATACAATATGCCCAAGTCTTTTTAGGTCTACCTCTGCCTTCTTAACATAAGTAGAACCTAAAGCATCTCCTCTCCTAATCGGATCATCAGATGGTCGACGTTTAATGTGACCAAATCATCTAAGACGACTCTCTCTAATCTAATTTGCCACTAAAGCTACAGCAACCCTATCACTGAGATATTCATATAAAAATGTAAATATAATATATACTCGTATAAAATATCAATAGAAAAACATAAATATTCAAAGTTACTTGAGTAATTTTTAAAAATAAAAACAATCAAATATTTTAGTGACTTTTTCCTACCTCAAAGCTCGAAGCTGCAAAAGAACGACTAAAACTTCGAGTCAATAAGGCAAACCCAGGCTCATTAACTAGCCAATTAACATTATGAAAAAAGAAGGTCTTGAATAGTGATTATACAAAAAGAAAAAACTTCCATGGCTCTCATTCCTCTAGTGCATGATAAAATACTTTTGAGTTTTGAATGACAAGTACAAATTTTATCAATTTGCGTGAAATGTATGTAGCACCTTTTTTGGTACAAAAATCAATATCCATAATATTAAGGCACGATGAGAGAGAATTAGGCTCCCATTTTAAACCCTTTCTCTCTCTCCCTCTCCTAAAAAAATATGGGATTTCAAAATCCTCAAACAAAACTTTAGCTTTTAATAAATGGCATGCATAAAAAATCACACCCAAATTCCAAAAGAGAATATGAAAGATCACCTAATATAATAAAATAATAATCAACATTCTTATTATTAATTTAAAAATGAAAGAGAAAAAATAAAACCCTTTATCCCACTAACAAAGAAGTGGACCGAAAATCTAAATTCTTTCTTAAAAAAATTCAGATTTTTTTTAATAAATCTGAAGTATCGCTCGACATTAAATGTAAGAAAAATTTAGATAAACAAAGAAATATACCTCTTCTCTAAACTCCAAAGCTGCTCACATCCAAGCACAAAAAAACCCCATTGCATCTCTGCTATTAAGGGATTTCATTATTAATAATGGCAAAAATCACCCAAATCCCTTCCTCTTCTTGGAACTCCTAAACTGATATTTGGCATATTCATTATCACGCTTAAAATAATTACCTCCCTACGAAAACCCTTGCCCTCTCAAACATATGATCTCCTATGGTTGATCTATCTTCTCCATGGAAACCACATCTCTTGATCAAAATTGAAGCCCTGCGATTTTTCAAACAAGATGATAAAGAGACATAGAGGATATCTTAGGTGCTTCCTTTCTTCTATATCAAACAAAAACAATGTAGGATGCAGGTATGCTGATTTTAAATCAAAACCTACCCAATCAAAAGTAAGAATCTCATTCTATTCACAGGATAAAGTGGTAATATTTGGGGTCCTTTGGTTATTGCCTAAATTACGAACAAATGCATAATCATTTAACCGAATCAAGTCACCACTACAATGGTGCACCTCAATTAATGTTGTTTCATTAATTGCAATTAATTTTGTCTTACTCTAAACATCTTCAGAATGCCATAGTTGCATCAAATTTTAACGACTGCAACTAGCATTGGTGTTTTCCCTTGCTCCATTGTACCAACTCACATTTCTGAGAACTTACATGCTCTAAATGGTTGTGGATATTGATAGTCATGGTCAACCAAGCACACTTCAATGGTATGTTACATGATTGTTTTTATTTAATTATTTTTTAACTACTGCAAAAGTAGCTTACTATAATACCATTCTCATGACATTTGAAAGTGTCTTTACATTGATTTAGTTGCAACTTCATAATTTTTAGCATGTGGATGACAATCAAAAAATTCCAATTTAATAAATCCTGGATACAAGTTCTCTAATCTATTTTAATTAATTTAAGTATTCAATTTCATTAGTTGGTGTAGTGGACTGTAAATCCATCAAAATTTATAGATAACAATAATAATAATACTATGTGTGTGTGCGTGCAAGTTTATAATTTTGAGCCTATATATGACGACCGCAAATTTCCACTTCAATTTGTTTTGGGCGGGGGTTGAAAAAGAGTGTTTAGCGAGTAATTTTCCTTTGAACCTAAAATGAAACATTGAACTTCATGTTATTAAACTACATGATTCAGTAATTTTACTCAATTTAAAATTGCGAAATTGGAAATTAAGATGTTTTTTGTACGTGTGGTCATGTGTAAGCTTCAAAGCGTTTTGAGGCATGAGATTTAAAATTAACGAATGACTCCAAAAGAGAATTATTGTATTAAGTTCACAACATGTAGTAAGAAGTAACATATTAGCATCCTATTACTAGATTAAAATGTAACATATTAACATACAAATATCAACTAATAAAAAAAAAGTTATACAAATATAAAAATCAGACATATTAATATAACAATTCAAAATAAGATTGATTCAATCAATCAGTCTAACACTCTTAATAGTATCCATCAAAATAAAAACACAACAAGTCACTACAGTTAGAATTTCTAAATTCAAAAGTTTGCATCATTTTTATCACTTAATGAGCCTTCCTTAGAATCATCAGCACAATGATTTATTTTCTCTCGCACATCATCCTTATTTTTCATTCCTCATCTTAAATCTCAATCATCTTTATTTTATTTAATTAATATTAATTAATAATAATATTTATTAGATTTTAAAGCAATGACGCTTGATAGTAACGACTTCAAACACATACTCAATTTTGTCTTACATGGTTAAGTAAGAAATGTTCAATAGATTTATTTTACTTATACTAATTTTAAGAAAAACCCTAGACCAAATTGTGGGCACCTCACTAGAATTGAGGTAATGTGAAGCCTCATTGTAGTACACAATGAAGCATAAAACTTATTGCAATTTAAAAAATATATAATTGAGGTGAGGCTTGTGCAATTTAAAATCATGATTTTAGTTAAAAAAAATGAAGTCGTGCTCAAGCACATTCCAATGAAAATTATAGCTTATCCTTACTCAGCATTCATGAATTGAAGTCCTGCCATTAACCCTCTATTTAAAATATTAGTTTTTTAATATTAAGCATATGATTGTATTGGTCTCTATAATTGTTTCTATTATCTTTAGTAATGCGCATTAATTCATAAAACTATGTGCATTGCGCATGGATCCTACTAATTAAAAACAAAATGGATTATTTTCAATTAAAGGTTGAACTAAATACATATCATAATATTTTAACAGTAGGGAAATAAATCTATGCTACTATCTCAGAACTCCTAAAATTCATATAAGGACTAGCAAAACGCGGCGTGCTCAAAAAAGTCTTTATAAAAATTAACAGATCAAATTGCATAAAAATTTGTAAGCGGTTTGATAAATTCAAGCTCAAACAATTGATACAAGAACATGCAGTTTTACAAGTGAATGAGATGAGCTTCACAAGGTTAAATAGCCTCAAAGCAAGCATTTTAACTTATAGTCCCTGCCCATTCCACTGTCTTAAAGGATTTTAAATTAAATAGTCATTAAACATTACAAAGAAATATGGCGACCATGGTATATTCAGTGAAATCCAGTGAAATCCCAAATTCAACCCCCAGGCAAACTCAAAACATGAGTAAAGATAGATTAAACCTAATCAAACAAGGACTATTTCATCAACTCTTGCTTAAAGTACACAGCCTAGGCTTATCAAACACATCCCCAGACAAATTTACATCAGAGAATGCTCAAAGGATGGCTACAAGGATGATAAGGAGTAACAATGAAAGAAACAGAAAATAGCACCAAATGGAGCCTATAACAAAAGAAACAACAGAAACACCAGATGAACAGAACATCAACAGCATGCCAACATAACAAATGTGGAAAACTCAATCCCCCTGTCGTTCCATTCGCCGGAAGCTATTCCCTTCTTAAAACATATATTGCAGCTCGTCCCCATTCTAATTAACAAAAAAATTCCAAATCGAGTCCTGTATTAGTTCTAGCATTTCGCCCCCAAAACTGCAATCAAAACCATCAAGCTCCAATACTAAACAGAAACCCGAGCCAAAGTCCGTTAGACAAAGCTAAACTCAAATTCAGTATAGAAACTGCTCGGATGAACGCCTTACAGTTTCCGATCGCTTGAGGAGCGGACCCTGCAATAAATGCCTCCCCGATCCCGACGTCAGCTGCCTCTTGATCTTCTCCAAGCTGCTCTCGGTGTCCGCCGGGTTCTGAAATTCCGAAAAAAAAAAACAATATAGAAAGAAAAAAAAAGATAAATAACTTATCTTTTACTTCGATTCATGGGATACACCAAAGGATCGATTCAACTCACTGCTGAACTTCCATTCAAGGCCATTGCGAAGGCGGATATGTCGAGAAAACAAAATTGCGACGGCAAGTGGAGGAATTCTGGATTGTAAAGAGCGAGAAATGGAGAATTTAGGGTTTTTTAAGCCTTCGAGGAATTGGAACTGGTAGTGGAAACCAAATAATTCTCGCTCGGTTAGATTCTTTCCAACATTTATTACTTGTTGATGACGACACTAACGCACTAGATTATAGTAAATTTCATGCAAAGGGGGTTTAAGATATATATAGTAATGATATGGCTTTCTTTGGAGTAAAAAATATTGGGTCTGAAGTCCATACATAAGCTACGTCGAGTCTAGAATAGAAGACGTTTTTTTTTTTCCTCCTTCCCTCGGTCTAGTGCATCACGTTCATTGTCAAGACGTAGCTTTACTTTCTACTCCGGACCCAATAATTTTTTCTTTGGGGGAGGGTTCCTGCAAATCTCTATCAAAAGTCACATTTATCGAATTGATGATATGAGCTCCATTTTGAAATCATTAAAGTTTATTGTTCTTACCATTAAACTTTCTAAAACATTCGAGAGAACTGTTTCATCAAACAAAAAATTTTTCATGCATCTGTGTTCACAGTAGTCTAACGGAACTTCACTGTCTTTACAAACAAAATTATAATTATCATAGTTAATGAGAACACAACTAAGGTTTAAAAAAAAAATTTGCTATTCCTTACAATTGATTATAGTAACAATAATAATTCATAATTATTTAGTGACACGTGCCATGGAAATTCCTGATAGGAGGTTTTTGCCCAAGGAGAATAGGTTACCCAGAAGACTTGAAATTGACGAGGATTGATTAGAAGGCCATTGTGGAATACTGGAAAATTTCAGTGGCATTAACAAATATACCACCCAATTCTTATGTATTTACATATCTAACATCTATATTTAAAAAAAAAAAAATTTGAGGGGCGTTTACAAACATGCCAGCCAATTTTTATGTATTTACAAATCTAAATCTAAATTTTCTTTTTCACATTTATATAAATCAAATCATTATGGTAATTTGTATTATTTATTTATTATTAAATTAATTTGAGCCAAAAGAAGCCTAACAAGGTCGAACAAAAGTTTGTTCTTGTTCGGCTTGTAGGTAAATTGAGCTAAAAGAAATTATATTTGTTACATTCATTCGCTTAAAAAGCAAATCAAGCATGAGCGACTTAGTGAGCTAAATGAGTTGTTCACGAACAACAAGTTTTTTTGACAAACCTAACTATGGGTTACATCGTCCTAAGGTAGTCACACAATTTCAAAAGGTAATGTTGTTTTATTTTATATATCCTAGCTTTTAAATCTAGCTATGTGTACCTAATAAACTAACCTAGGATTTTAGATTGGACTAATCTAGATATTGTGTAACTCTCTGTTTTATTTCTGCATTGGCCAACCTATGGTTCATGTCAAATCTACCTAGGTTTGATTCTCGTTTTCTAAGTTGAAAAGTTTTAAATTTTTTTTAGGGTTTAGTATTTAGTTTGTTGTTTGTTATGATTCTTACGTTGTCAGTCATAGGTAAAATCAAATTTATTCTAGTTTCAAAGGTTTTGCATTTTAATGTAATAAAATATTCATTAGAAGAACCTCGATGAGATGTTCTCCTCATACTTTTTTTTTTTTTTTTTTTTTTTTTTTTTTTTTTTTTTTGTGGCATATAGGAAGTGTTGTACATTGTATGCAAAGAACATGATACATGGTTGCAGTATACATAAAATATGAATTGGATGAAACATGAAACGTGAATTGAATTATACTAAAGTTACGTATACTTCATACGAAATTAAGTTAGGTTAGGCTCGGGACTCGAGCTAGGGTTGGGCTGAATTGAGTTGAGGTTGGCTAAGGTCGGTTAGGGTCAACTAAGGTCAACTAGGGTCTGCTAGGGTTAGCTAAATTTAATTAAGGCATGCTAAGGTTCAGCTAGGTTAGGTTGGGTTGGGTTGGGCTAGAGTGGGTTGGGTTGGGCTAGAGTGGGCTGGGTTGAGCTAGGTTGGGTCAAGTTAGGTAGGGTTGGGATAAATTGGGTTGGGTGGGCTTGGTTGGTTTAGGTTGGGTTAGGTTAGGCTGGGTCGGCGGGGTTGGGTTCGGTTGTGATAGGTTAGGTTGGGCTAAGTTGGGTTATGTTGAGTTAGTTTGGGCTGGGCTAGGCTAGGCTTGGTTAGGTTCGGTTGATTTAGGCTAGGTCGGGCTAGATTGCGTTGGGTTAAGTTGGTTTGAGCTAGGTTGGGTTACGTTGGGTTCAGTCTAGCTAGGTTGGGTTAGGCTAGGTTAGCTCATGTTGTGTTAGGTTGGGCTAGATTGTGACAGGCTTGGTTGAGTTAGGTTGGTGAGGTTGGGTCGGGCTAGGCTGGGTTTGGGTCAGGTAGAGTCATATCGGGTCAGGATTGGGTCGGTTTCAAGTCAGGTTCGGTACGTGTTGGTTTAGGTTCGAGCCAGGTTTGGTTCGGTGAGGTTAGGTTGGTTTCAGGTCAGGTCGGGTTTCGATCAAGTTGGGATCGGGCTAGGTTGGGCTTGTGCTAACCTAGGGCTAACCCAAACTCGAGCCTATCCTAATTACTTTAATTAACTAATTAACTCAAATAAAATTAAATAAAGAAAATAAAATAAAAGGAGGAGGGGGACATATTGGACTGACGGGCACATCACGAAGAGCACCGCAGGAAGAAGATGGGGTCGATTGGAGCACCACTAGAGAGGATGAGTGAGGAGGAGAAGAGGAAGAGTCGCGGGAATGAGGAGGAGCACTGTGCCATTTATAGGTGGCTAGGAGTGTCAGAGGCAGTGGCGAGAACGGTTGCCTCCCACGCGAAAAGGGAAAATAATGGACTTTTGAACAATTAAATTAATTCCACAATTATAAGTCAAAATTTACAAAGAATGTCATTTCCCACAACTAAGAAAATCTCATTATAACTAATGCATTATAAAAAAAATCCACTAATCAACTTTACTGTCATTTTATGAGCGGTTTCTTATGATTGTCATTACTAGACCATCATTCCTGATTTTCATCTCTTTCGCCAATTAATTAGTATTCATAGTTATCTAGCCACCATTATTCACAATCAACAGATGTTGGCAACTGTCGGCACTATTTTTGGTGTGGGGTTTGCCCGTAAGAAGCTGTCGGTCATCGGAATTGAAATCTCGTTGCCCGCTTCGGAATGACGTTTTAAAAAATTTACTTTTGAAAAAGATGAAGTCAAACTGACCCCATAATTTTCATAGTTTAGATGAAAGAGCACTTTATCTCAAATCATGTATCTATCCCGAAGGATGAACGCAAGAATTGAGAGTGAGGCTCGATCAAATAAACTAAAGAAAGTTATGACATTCGTTTGGTCTGCGA